TCAGAATCCCATTAAGAAAAAACCCTCACATTATTATTTAACTACATATATCTTGGGGTTTTAAAATCTGATTCTTACATAAGAACTCTTATGTCTCTCCAATACTACTTCGTCAAATACCCTCTCATATTTCTGTGTTTTAGGGATCTTCGAGCACGCGTACCGCCACGGAAAAGGATTTTCGAAAGGAGAAAGAAAACAACGTCTGTGTACAGGCTTTTAAATGCATTTTGAAACCATGTAATCGTATCAGCGCTGTTTTAAAAATATATCGTCTTCATTTTGGCGGTGGATACTTATCTTCTAAACATATACCCATAAATGATGATTCGCTAACCGTGAATAAAATTTTATCTGGAAACGAAGTATCTTTCTGTAATCTCCATTTCACCCTCCTGGTCTTACCTCATGCGATAAGAAGAATATTTTATTACAAACCTGGCATACGTGCACAAAATGCAATCATTAACATTACAAAAATTTACAAGTATTTTGAGTTAAAATTTGCTGTTTACGCGTCACTGCAAACTAAACTAGCAAAGGAAATAATTACAGCCGGATAATTTATAGACAAAATTCACATTATTTTATTATCATAGGGAAATTTAAAAACGCGAAGTTGTGCGTGACAATTTATTCAAAAATATAGTAAAACAGCAAAATGCTATTAATAATAATCCTCATATAGTTAAAGAACCCAGACAGATAGAGCTCCAACATTTTGAACTTCCTTTTCGCGTGTAAATTTAGGTCAAGATTTTATCAAGTAACGAAGAAAGGTACATTGTTAAATAGATTTTCAGCTAATTAAAAATAATTGTTCGCGTGTCAGAATATTCAAAATTAGGGTTAGCTATTGAGAATCGATCAAATATCAACTAAAGAGGAAGCAATTTCTTTCCTTTTAACTGAACTTGAAACTTATTAAACTTCTTTTAACATTCAAGACCAAATGTTGTAGCGTTGAGTTATACAGGAAACCATCGCTAGCCAATGAGAACGAACTCTTTTGTTGAGATGTAGGTTGGGGACGTGTTTATTGAGTTTTTGCTCAAAATAGAAAACAAATCCTAACTGACATTTCTCTTGACAGACCAAACATCACGATTCGGTAAGAGAATCAAATAATCGAAAAATTTGATTTGTCTTCCTTATCAATGCGGGTTTTAATTACTACTTTTGTCGTAATTTTAATACCAAAAGCTCTTTTTCGTCGGTATCGGTAGATCGACTTAGGGTGTTTTCAAGGGCAGGGCGAAATTGAACGCATTCGATCTTTCGCTTGATAAACTATACACAACTTGCAAGTTCAAACTCCCAAATCTCTCGAACTTTATCTACGGTATTTCAAATTTCCTTTAATTCTCAGCCGTGATTAGGCTCATTTTCCGCATTACACTGATTTTGCGGAAAGACATCCTTGAACCTAGTAGAGGAAGTGTCGGTCAAATACAACAGCTGGCGTTTAGAAAAAAAAAAAAATTGAAATCAGCTATTGCTTATTACCAAATGGCGTTTCCATTGGTTAGCATATAATTTGCAAACCCCCTCCTAACTAAATTCTCAACTCTCTGCGATGGTCTGACCAAAACAGTTCGGCTATTCTTGTGGGGACGCTCGCATTGTGCTTTCTACTTTCAGGCAAATGAACATGGCAAGTCGTGCCGCACTGAGCTCCAACAGCGGCCAGCTAAAGTTTGCTCCCTTCTAATTACGCTCTTTAAAATCTACGGTTGTGCCATACCTCAAGCGCCATTCAGCAGGGGAAACCAGATCGAGCTAAACACGAGACGATGGATCTAAGGAAAAATATAAAGTTATTGTTGATTTTCCTCGCAGTTGCCTCGATCAGATTACACGCTTCTCAAGTGAAACTGAGAGGCCGACAATTTATGACTTACAAACTAGAATCTGGTGAAAACTCCAGACAGACTGTTGTTAAATTGCGATTCCAAACCATTCATCCAAACGGTCTTTTTTTGTATTCCAAAGGAACTAAAACTGATGAGTACCTCCAGCTTGACCTCTTTCATGGACAGGTGCGGTAAGTGTGTTGTTAATTTTTATACGTTCGCTGTGTGAGGAGATCTTGCTAACTTGTAAACAGTTGTAAAAACCAACTACTGGGCCAAGCTTAAAGATGTGGGAACAATTGAAAAAAAACCTTTTGTTTTTTTTTGGTATTTCATTCAACGCATCTTTTTCTTAAGGTGGCTTGACTGGATTTTTCGGGAGGATACCTCCCAAGTTTGAGCATTAACTACGTCGCCATGAGTAAAGATATGGGAAAAAGATTACCACAACTGTATTATGTAAAGATGAAAATTTAATGTAATATAAGGTCTGTTGAAAAGGAAACACTGCGTCTTATTTTCCTTTCATTGGCAGTTAATTGCAATTCAGTTGCAAAAGAAAATGTTATACTTCTTTTTTTAGATTGTTAAGGTTGTTGTCCCTAGCCATCTCTCATTTTTTTCTCTTAATTTGTATTTGGGTGTATTTTCAGATCTGAATGCAAAGAATGTATAAAACTGTACATAAGAACAAAGCGATAAATATCTAGATCGGTTTTTAAAATATATAATAAGATTACTTTGTTTTCAAAACAAAAATAAGCGAAGAGATCCTTAGGAATGTTTTCGATAAATTATTAGATTTCAAGGAAATGAGCTGTGTTTATGGCTAACTGAGGAAATTTTATGAAAAAACGTTTTTTGAAAATTTATAAATATCCGTTCCTTAATGGGCGTATTTTTTTAATGTCAATGAAATATTTGTTGACCTTGATTTCTCGTATTCTTTAACTATTTACATACAGTGATAATCATTTTGTGTCATAGGGGAAATTTGTTGTTAAAATTGGCGAGAACTCTGTCGAAATCAGAAATATTTCTTCAACCACTTATTTTTAAAGAAATCGTTTAATCAGACTCCGCATTATTGTTCCCTGCAGTTTTGGAGACTGAATAACCTTCTTTTGTCTCTCAAAATTTTAAACCATGCAAATGAATCACACAAAATTAAACTTTGGCAAGATTGTGCACTCCATAAAAGAAACCGAAAAGAACTGTGTAGTTATCAAAAACACGCTTACTTAAACAACAAAACGATAAAAGAAATCGGATCGATGCAGTTTTTTCTGTAAAGCGACTTTGTTTAATTCTTCTGAATATGTATTCCTTATTTTTGTGCATTTTTTGGTTTGCCTCTCCGCTTAAGCAACAATGATAATCACCATCCGCCAAGTTCTTCTTTGCGAAAAAAATCTTACTTATTTGCTCGCTATTGAAACAAATCGCATACATTCTATTGCAGTTTCCATACACTGCATGTTTTTGTACTGATCCTTTTAGAGATCAATTCCCTTCTTTTTTTCTGCGGAAAATATATACGTGGCCTTAATGGCTTTATCTGCAACACCGTAGGAGGGCCATACAAATCAATTTTCCCTTTCACCCATGTTTGAAACACCACCTGAATCGATCAGATTTGTCTACTTATTTTTTAATGCCTTAAATCAGTGCCGCAAAAACCTACATTTTTCATTTGGATTATCAAAAAGTTAGTTTAAGGTACTTCCAGTGTACTATATGCTATGTGAAACAAAGTACAAATTGAATTAGCTTACACGTAAATGCTACCAAAGATATACCACTGATATCTTGCCCTTTACTGTCGCTTTTAAGTATCTTTAATGAAATTCTTGCCCAAAGCCTCACCACTCAAACCATCCAGACCACCAAAAGATTTCGGCAAAATTATTTTGATTAACATTTTAATTTACAAAGGCTGTTCCTGTGATTTTGATTCATATCTAATATTATAGTACAGTACAAAGGCACTCCCCCTTTTGTAGTCTTTACATAAAACATGATTTGGGTAATGCCACAACGTCGTAGCCTGAAATTCATCCGATTGCTTCGAGTCGTTTTCTCCTCTCAACAACGTCTGAATCGACCGGCCGTTAATGCCGTCCAGTGACGTCACTCACTACCCGAAAACCGGGTAGTGATTTTGATTGGTTGTTAAAAACGCGAAGTTGTGCGTGACAATTTATTCAAAAATATAGTAAAACAGCAAAATGCTATTAATAATAATCCTCATATAGTTAAAGAACCCAGACAGATAGAGCTCCAACATTTTGAACTTCCTTTTCGCGTGTAAATTTAGGTCAAGATTTTATCAAGTAACGAAGAAAGGTACATTGTTAAATAGATTTTCAGCTAATTAAAAATAATTGTTCGCGTGTCAGAATATTCAAAATTAGGGTTAGCTATTGAGAATCGATCAAATATCAACTAAAGAGGAAGCAATTTCTTTCCTTTTAACTGAACTTGAAACTTATTAAACTTCTTTTAACATTCAAGACCAAATGTTGTAGCGTTGAGTTATACAGGAAACCATCGCTAGCCAATGAGAACGAACTCTTTTGTTGAGATGTAGGTTGGGGACGTGTTTATTGAGTTTTTGCTCAAAATAGAAAACAAATCCTAACTGACATTTCTCTTGACAGACCAAACATCACGATTCGGTAAGAGAATCAAATAATCGAAAAATTTGATTTGTCTTCCTTATCAATGCGGGTTTTAATTACTACTTTTGTCGTAATTTTAATACCAAAAGCTCTTTTTCGTCGGTATCGGTAGATCGACTTAGGGTGTTTTCAAGGGCAGGGCGAAATTGAACGCATTCGATCTTTCGCATGATAAACTATACACAACTTGCAAGTTCAAACCCTCAAATCTCTCGAACTTTATCTACGGTATTTCAAATTTCCTTTAATTCTCAGCCGTGATTAGGCTCATTTTCATTACACTGATTTTGCGGAAAGACATCCTTGAACCTAGTCGAGGAAGTGTCGGTCAAATACAACAGCTGGCGTTTAGAAAAAAAAAATTGAAATCAGCTATTGCTTATTACCAAATGGCGTTTCCATTGGTTAGCATATAATTTGCAAACCCCCTCCTAACTAAATTCTCAACTCTCTGCGATGGTCTGACCAAAACAGTTCGGCTATTCTTGTGGGGACGCTCGCATTGTGCTTTCTACTTTCAGGCAAATGAACATGGCAAGTCGTGCCGCACTGAGCTCCAACAGAGGCCAGCTAAAGTTTGCTCCCTTCTAATTACGCTCTTTAAAATCTACGGTTGTGCCATACCTCAAGCGCCATTCAGCAGGGGAAACCAGATCGAGCTAAACACGAGACGATGGATCTAAGGAAAAATATAAAGTTATTGTTGATTTTCCTCGCAGTTGCCTCGATGAGATTACACGCTTCTCAAGTGAAATTAAGAGGCCGACAATTTATGACTTACAAACTAGAATCTGGTGAAAACTCCAGACAGACTGTTGTTAAATTGCGATTCCAAACCATTCATCCAAACGGTCTTTTTTTGTATTCCAAAGGAACTAAAACTGATGAGTACCTCCAGCTTGACCTCTTTCATGGACAGGTGCGGTAAGTGTGTTGTTAATTTTTATACGTTCGCTGTGTGAGGAGATCTTGCTAACTTGTAAACAGTTGTAAAAACCAACTACTGGGCCAAGCTTAAAGATGTGGGAACAATTGAAAAAAAACCTTTTGTTTTTTTTTGGTATTTCATTCAACGCATCTTTTTCTTAAGGTGGCTTGACTGGATTTTTCGGGAGGATACCTCCCAAGTTTGAGCATTAACTACGTCGCCATGAGTAAAGATATGGGAAAAAGATTACCACAACTGTATTATGTAAAGATGAAAATTTAATGTAATATAAGGTCTGTTGAAAAGGAAACACTGCGTCTTATTTTCCTTTCATTGGCAGTTAATTGCAATTCAGTTGCAAAAGAAAATGTTATACTTCTTTTTTTAGATTGTTAAGGTTGTTGTCCCTAGCCATCTCTCATTTTTTTCTCTTAATTTGTATTTGGGTGTAATTTCAGATCTGAATGCAAAGAATGTATAATACTGTACATAAGAACAAAGCGATAAATATCTAGATCGGTTTTTAAAATATATAATAAGATTACTTTGTTTTCAAAACAAAAATAAGCGAAGGAATCCTTAGGAATGTTTTCGATAAATTATTAGATTTCAAGGAAATGAGCTGTGTTTATGGCTAACTGAGGAAATTTTATGAAAAAGCGTTTTTTGAAAATTTATAAATAGCCGTTCCTTAATGGGCGAATTTTTTTAATGTCAATGAAATATTTGTTGACCTTGATTTCTCGTATTCTTTAACTATTTTAACATACAATGATAAACATTTTGTGTCAAAGAGGAAATTTGTTGTTAAAATTAACGAGAACTCTGTCCAAATCAGAAATATTTCTTCGACCACTTATTTTTAAAGAAATCGTTTAATCAGACTCCGCATTATTGTTCCCTGCAGTTTTGGAGACTGAATAACCTTCTTTTGTCTCTCAAAATTTTAAACCATGCAAATGAATCACACAAAATTAAACTTTGGCAAGATTGTGCACTCCATAAAAGAAACCGAAAAGAACTGTGTAGTTATCAAAAACACGCTTACTTAAACAACAAAACGATAAAAGAAATCGGATCGATGCAGTTTTTTCTGTAAAGCGACTTTGTTTAATTCTTCTGAATATGTATTCCTTATTTTTGTGCATTTTTTGGTTTGCCTCTCCGCTTAAGCAACAATGATAATCACCATCCGCCAAGTTCTTCTTTGCGAAAAAAATCTTATTTATTTGCTCTCTATTGAAACAAATCGCATACATTTTATTGCAGTTTCCATACACTGCATGTTTTTGTACTGATCCTTTTAGAGATCAATTCCCTTCTTTTTTTTCTGCGGAAAATATATACGTGGCCTTAATGGCTTTATCTGCAACACCGTAGGAGGGCCATACAAATCAATTTTCCCTTTCACCCATGTTTGAAACACCACCTGAATCGATCAGATTTGTCTACTTATTTTTTAATGCCTTAAATCAGTGCCGCAAAAACCTACATTTTTCATTTGGATTATCAAAAAGTTAGTTTAAGGTACTTCCAGTGTACTATATGCTATGTGAAACAAAGTACAAATTGAATTAGCTTACACGTAAATGCTACCAAAGATATACCACTGATATCTTGCCCTTTACTGTCGCTTTTAAGTATCTTTAATGAAATTCTTGCCCAAAGCCTCACCACTCAAACCATCCAGACCACCAAAAGATTTCGGCAAAATTATTTTGATTAACATTTTAATTTACAAAGGCTGTTCCTGTGATTTTGATTCATATCTAATATTATAGTACAGTACAAAGGCACTCCCCCTTTTGTAGTCTTTACATAAAACATGATTTGGGTAATGCCACAACGTCGTAGCCTGAAATTCATCCGATTGCTTCGAGTCGTTTTCTCCTCTCAACAACGTCTGAATCGACCGGCCGTTAATGCCGTCCAGTGACGTCACTCACTACCCGAAAACCGGGTAGTGATTTTGATTGGTTGATTTTCTAAACATTCGCATAATTATGTATAATTATGAAAACTTTTAGCGGGATTGTCGCTTGATATTCAGTGCATCGCATTCCTGGCATTCTATTCGTTGAATTTAATTAATCTTTATCTTAAACAGCAAAATTGCCCTTGTCTTCGAACCTGAAATGCTAAATTGAACTGCGAATGAAGAATCATTGCGGAGAGTCGGTAGGTTTTTCATTTAGAGCCGCTTTGTGGTTTCGGCGGCCGGTTATTTTGTTTACGCGAAGTTTTCTGATATCAATGTTATAATTCGACCTTCTTGCTATTTTTACCGTCAAGTGTAATGATTCTGTTAGCTTTTCTTTCTCGTCTCCTTGCTTTTTTCTTCGTTAAGGACCAAAGAGCTTCTTTTCAATTAAAGCAAATCACTGTGTTTTTGAACTAAGGCCCAGTTCAGACGTCGTGCTTCTGGCGTGCCGAACTAAATTCAGGAATTAAGTTCGACAAAAGCACGGCAGAAGCACGACGTCTGAATCAAAGTTTTGAATTAAGTTCGGCAAGCAATTAAGTTCGACAAGCGCTGTCGTGCTACACGGCTCTGGCACGGCAGCGATTCAAACGTCGTGCTTCTGCCGCGCCAAACCAAGTTCATAAATTATATTAATGTATTTTGGCGATATTGCGTTCCCACGGGGAGTTGGGGGAAGAATTGTCACGAGGCATCAGTAAATCCTGAATTTGGTTCGACTCTGGCACGACGTCTGAATCAAAGTTGTTTTACTGCCGTGCTACAGTCGAACCAAATCACAATTAAGTTCGGCACGGCAGAAGCACGACGTCTGAACTGGGCCTAAGTGTTCCGTGTATGTGTTTATTTCATTACGTGATTGTGACCGAGTTTGATCATAGAATTTAGTACAACCGGTTCAGAGTTATACTGCATGCAGTTGATAGTTTGAACGTTAAACATGAATTACGATCGAAAAAAATAAAGTAGTTCTGTATCATGCAGACATTTCCAAACGATATTTCTCGGTTTGCCACTTGAAAATCGTGTTTTACTTTTTGCATGAATTAAAGCAAAGGTCAAGGAGTAGTGACGTCACTGGACGGCATTAACGGCCGGTCGATTCACCACCGCGGTCAAACGTCTAAATCGTTATTTTTGTTTTTTATTCCTGGGATTTCATTTACCAGTTAGAGAAAAATGGGCAAAGATATATAAATCAGTTAGTCAACATAACTATCTTTCCATTTTTCTCAAAATTTTGAGCTTTTTTCGCTGAAAACGCTTCGTGCTAAAAGAGAATCATGTTTGAAAATGGCGTCGATAATAACGTCAGCATCGGTTTTCAATCACTTAGAACTTTTTTAGTAAACTTTTAAAAAGTTTAGTAAACTAACAGGATGTTGGTAATACCCTAAACTTTCGATAGTGAAAGTAGCAACCTTAACGTTAAGTATTTCGCTTAACTTTTGCAAATTTCACTCGTTTGATCGCTGTGAAGGTCGATTCAAGACGTTACTGAGGGAGTAATAACGACTCGAAGTAATCGGATGAAATTCAGGCTAACAACGTCGACATTTTTTAAAAATTTTGTAAACTCAATCAAACTCGTGCGTTCATATTTGCATCAACGCGGGAAAGATTTTTATCCTTAGCAAGAAGTAGGACTTTCGTCGCTTAAAGCCAGAGGGCTAGAATTAGAATAAGACTGAAGCGCTGGCAACTATGGCTGTATAGTAATTGTAGCCCTATATGTATAGTTCTGCCAAGAGTACAGCTACAGTAGCTTCTTCGAACAGTTGTTGGCGAAGAGAAGCAACCGACAGCAATGGGCCACATTGATTAGAAAGAATATGCGTTGCACTTTTACTTTCCCAAATTCAGACGCTGGAATGGTTACTCTTTTTATTCACTAGAAACAAACGGACTAGTGATGGATACAGGCTCTTACAAATTCTGGGTGACATTCGTTGTATGAGAAACTCTTTGAGAGCTTCATGGTTTAGACGAAGATTAAAAATGTCTTTAAAAGATTAAAATATATACTTTTTATTCTCTAGTTATCAAGCATATATTGGAGGCATCCACAAACATGGAAAGGTGAAAATATTAGACGCAAATAAGGAGTTGAACGACGGCGAATGGCACAATGTCACCTTAGTACAACGTGGAAGAACTGCTATTCTTGAGGTGGATAAGTTGCGAAGCTCAAAAATCGTTCAAACAGACTACCAAGATCTTCACCTCGACGGCAACATTTTCATTGGTGGAATGAGGTCTTCCGACTACAAGATCCACCGTCCTGAGAGCCGTAATTTTAGCGGGTGCATTGAAGACCTTACATTTCGTGGTGCAAACCTGATCAGAAAGGCTGAAACCAAACGTCCAGAGGTCAGTGTGTACGGGAATATTAATGTGGCATTTAAGTGCGAGGAACTCGATTATAGGGTAGTAACACTTCCGAATCCGAACACAGGCTATCGAGTGACTGTACGTAAGTTACACGCAGACAACGACACATTTTCAACGAGTTTTTACTTTCGTACATACATAAAACAAGGCCTTCTGTTGTCACGAAGCGCGATTAAGGTCAAGTTAAATTTGCGATTGTCACATGGCACTTTGATTTATAATCTTATGGCTCCAAACGGATCAAGGACAACATTAAAACTGGGTTCTGAACTTGACGATGGAGAATGGCATAAAGTCAACGCTAGTGTCAGAGGGCGAGAAGTTCGCTTGCAACTCGACGAGAAAATCCGGACAGAACCTTTGAACCAATCACGGCCTTTAATGCTGGACTTCGCAAATAAATCTCGCCTGAAAATATTTCTTGGTGCCTTTGAAGAGAGAGATTTTCCCGGTTTTGTTGGGTGCGTTTACAACTTACAGATAGACAGTCATAGGATTACAATAAATAATCTCAAGAGTAAAAGCGGCAAACACACTAATAAATATTTGCGAAACACTTGCCGCCTACAGAATCGCTGCCAGCCGAATCCGTGTAAAAACCGAGGCATATGTACACAGACTTGGGACAGGTTCTACTGTAATTGTAAATACACCGTATTTGAAGGGGAACGATGCGATATTTCTATTTACAAGGCCACATGCGAATATTACAAAGCCATGGGGTTGGAGAAAAGTGCTTTGTGTTTGCTTGACTCAGTAGGTGGTGGAACGCCATATACAGCATATTGTAATTTAACCCGGGATGCCGCAAAAACGACAATACGTCACGATAAAATGACTAAAACGAGAGTAGGAGATGGGATTATGAAAGGATCTGATTATCTACATGAAATAACGTACTCCATTGGCATGGAACAAATTGAAAAACTAATTAGGAAAAGCAGCAAATGTCGCCAACATGTTAGGTTTCATTGCTTCCAATCTAAGCTTCTAAATTCGCCCAATGGGCCTCCTCACGCGTTGTGGCTGTCACGTGACTCGGAGAGACAAAACTATTGGGGCGGAGCAGAACCCGGAAGTGAAAAATGCGCGTGCGGAATGTCTGACCCGCCGACTTGTGCGGGTACCGGTAAATTTTGCAATTGTGACAACAAGGACAGAATATGGCAAGTGGATGAAGGATATTTGACAGATAAAAACGCTCTTCCCGTCACTGCTCTGGTATTTAACTCCAAAAGCGAGAGATCTGACTTCACAGTAGGTCCACTGGAATGTTGGGGAGGTTTAGATAAATATAAAATTTCCATGATACAACCCCAGCAGAGTGGAATGGCGACTGATAATCCATTAGAGAAAGGTTGTCCGAATGATCCGAAACCAACGGAAGCGATCAACATCACGACTTCTCTTAGCTCCACCAATAAAGTTTCCACACCGAAAACGACCTGCACAACATCCCCAACCTCCAAGCCAAATGCTACCACGACAGCTCCCTATCCTAAAACGCCTGCAAAAGAAATACAAAGCTCACTATCGCCAAAAGAATTCACTGTAGATAACGGAACCGGAGAATTGTCTACCATCGCTATCGTAATGATTTCCGGCGCTTTAGTAGTTATTGTTCTATTATCCATGAAATTAGGTCTTCCTCGCGTTATTATGTGTGTTCGAACGCACAGTAAGCGTGGCGAGTACATTGTCCCACCGACCGGCTCTGGTGGATATCCAGCAAGATTATTTCCGCTGGTAGCCAAACGTGCGTCACTACGGGGGAAGCAGTTAACACAGTACAGCGTAAATGACAAACATGTAGAGGGCAACACGACAAGTGGAATCAATTCATACTGGGTGTGAATTTCTTGAGCACCCTCCGTGGAGTCAGAAAACCTTTGAAGCCACCTCTGAGTCAGAACCGGTTAACAAGCGGTTCTAAGCTTCATGTAGACAAGCTAAAGGGACAATGCCAATTTACCTTAAAAAAGTCAATCCCAATTCAACTTTCTGTCATTCAAGAGTGAGTTGAAACTCCTTATAATATCAATGTGGTCCAGAATACAGGTGATGGGAACAGGCAAATGGATCAGCCCAACGATGTTAAGAATTTTTCTCCTTTTGGCTGGGACCAGCAAGCGAAATCCGTACACACGGAAATTACGACTTAAAATCAATAAAGTTGCCAAGTTTTAAAGCGATTTGTTGAAAACTAACGAGGATATAACACCGCAAATTCCACGAATTTTACAGACGTTTGATGGTGGGGGGCAACTGCTCGTGCCACCACGATACAAACGTCTGCACTTAGCACCTTTAAACTTGGTAAGGTACCTTAATTCAAGGCCCTCTTTCCAGGGCAGTGTTGATGGATATTCGCTCACTGCTCTTTAACAAAAGTTGAAAACAAAAACCATGCAAGGGTCTACTATGCAGGACACCAAGAGAGATATTGAGGGACACTAAGGGATCCATAGAATGTGTCCCAATTAACGGGGTGTTCTTATCAGATATTAGCTGTGGTCACACTACAGACTTTTACCTAGGTAAAACCGATTTATACCTAGGGCAAATTCATCAAAAATCTCCCGGGGTAAATTCATCTCGGGTTTTGTTTTACCTAGGTAAAAATTCTGGGAAGGTCACACTACTGATAACGGCTCCCAAAGTTTTCACGCAAGTTGAATTTTTTGGAGCGTAAATTCGAGAAGGAAAAAGCGCAGGGATCTAGCTGATCAAAGAGACGTTTTTTTTCTTTTATCTCGCTGTCATTTCTTACGCTAATTCAACGTGCAAGGTGAAGAAAGGCGAAGACGTAGACGACTCGTGCCCCCAAAATTTCTTTCACAGCGTGATCTATGTCCAGTTCTGTCATCAAGACCTTCGCCAATGAGCGTCTATTGGCTAGCAACCTCGTTTTTCATTTTTCCCTAGCTATTGCTTTGGGGTAGCTGTCAAAGGAAGCTGTATTGTTCTCGAGACAAATCCAAGACCCAGACGATAAAATTTCCCCGAGGTAAATTACCTAGGGAAAAATTGGTCACACTTAAAAAATCAAGTTTCCCTGCCAACAAGTCGTGTTTACCTAGGTAAGAAGTCTGTAGTGTGACCACAGCTATTCTGAATTTAAGGGTTAAAATCCTCTTAAAGGGGCGGATCTAGGGGTCGAGGCACGTAGCACTGTGGCCTTTAGGCCACCTTCATCTTAAAGTCTTGATGAAGGGACCTTCCACGTACCAAGACTTATTTGAAGATCAATCTGCCTTAGTTTAAGGTCAAAGGTTTTCGCTCTTTTAAATTTTCTCCTTCGTTTTAAACTAATCGTTTACTGCCTATTTTAGCTTATAGTTCCTTTCCATCTTTTTTGTAAAACTACGAATCAGTGTTCTTAAACCTTTCGAGAAAAATTTCACGCGGCTGATAAAAGCATGTAAGACGTGTAACGTCAATGAATCTCGTCGTTTTTCTAAAATGGTCATTATAACCAAGAGAGAATCATTCTCTCATGTTATAACGGAATTAATTATGTGATACAACCTCGAATATAGTTAAAAATGAGCCACGCTAATTTTAAAAGCTTTATGTACAAAATACAGCTAAAAATTAAAGGATTGAATTAAAGCCAACATTTTGGCAACGCGTCTGTGAAAAGATAGTTGTTATGGTCTATTATGGAAACTTTTTTCCCTTAGTAAAATCGATCTGTGAAGCGCCGAGTGATATTTTATTGCTGGTTTTCACTGTCACGCCTTCACAAATAAAACTGGAATCATTCAAAATCAAACCAAGAATCTTAGAAAACGTAGAATATTGATATGAAAACAATTTTGCCTCTGCAAATTTATGATACACGAGAAATGCAAAGAAAGTAAGGTTTTACCCAAATTTATGCAATTAAGTATGAGGGGCACAGTGTTGGCATGAGCCTCTCTACGGTCATGTCTCCACGAATCCGGGCATTTTTAAAACCGCTTATTTTTTTATCCGGATTCGTGTGAACAGGGCCTTAAACCGCCTCTGGAGACCGGTTTCGTCGACTGGATTCCCCCCTTTTCGTGTGAACGGAAGGCCGATTCGTGTCAAAAAATTCTGCGGTCTTAAAAATATTGGGATTCGCGTGTGTGGACGTATCCTAAGGGCCTTGCATAGAGGTGGGGAGCCCCAGGTAGGTGAGGTAACCCCGGGGGGGACCTCCTGGGAACCTATTTATTTATTTAGCTTCGCCTTACTAGAATACAATCTTTATACAGTCTCGGTGGGGGTGTGCCTCCTGGTTCTCAAAATCCTGACAGAATTTCAGACCAAAAAATGTAAATTTTCGCTCCCGTTTTCAGACTAGAACTCTAAAATCCATACCCGTTTTCGGACCTGGCCTTTAGGCAGAAATTATATTATCATTACTTAGATTAGAGGGCAAACCAAAAATTATTCAAATCCATTCCGAATTCGCATATGTCTCCTTCTTTCTTACTCATTTGGAATTGAAACGATAAATACTTTCATATACACTGATCCGTAAAATGGGCAAAGTTTATACCCGTTTTCAGGCAAAAACGGCGTAAAAACCCTACCCGATGGGACGGCACATACCTATATGGCTTATATAAGGGAATACCCCCCCCCCCGGGAGGTAACCCGCTTAGGTGGGGTATTACCTGCCTGTCCATATCATCTCTCATTTTAATTTAATCACGTTTACATGATAGGTGGGGTGACCAGCCACATGTTACATTCCCTATCTGTTGGGTCCCTCACCACCATGTAAACAGGCCCTATGAGACAACAATATGGCTGAGCCATAACCAGTAATAACCGCGAGTTTTGCTTGCAACTGAGAACAATCGACTAAGAGTGTTTTCCTGAGAGCGAGAAGGATAAGGGATGTTTATACCGTTCTTGCCGTTTTTATGTTAAATTGGCATACCATTTAGTTCACGAAAAACTCTTGTAGACGGATTGATTAGTAGGGAAATGATCTGAATTTGTCGAGTCTGTTAAAGACAAGAAGTTGACACCCATGGAGGTAAGCATGTTTAATAAATTTGGAAACATTTTCAATTAAACTCATTGCTTATGATGAGCTTGGGAGCAGGTGCCTTAAAGGTTAGTAGGGAACCAAATGCAATAAGCAGAGAGGAGGTATCCATGGCAACCCTGGAAGCGGGAGCCATCCGGCGCCTTCACACTGAATAGATTCAGGGGAGATACTTACCTAAGAGAATACTTAGCTGAGGAAATACTTACGAAAACACCAGGCAGGAAGGGAGGAGAGGGAGCGAGAATCCGTAATGATTCGCAAGAAGGCAAAAATTGATCCGCTACGATCAGCAAGCAAAGCTACAATGCAGCGCAACTCTAGCAAAAGAGCACACATTAGGAGCCCTGCAATTCCCCGAGGACCGCCCCGTAGGTCGAGTACTGGAGTGGGCAAAGACCTCTGGCCAACTCGCACGAGTTTAACTTTGCCTAAATGATATTTCGCCACATTGAATAATTATTATAAATAGACCACCCTTCTCGATCTGCATAATTCTTCATATTCAACCTCACCCAATAATTGCAATAAGGAAGCGGGTGCGCTAGACTGGCTTCACTGAAGTGTACTTTTATTTGTTAATGATGACCATTAAGAAGACTTCAAGTTTTCAAAGAGAATCCCAGCTTTTTTGTTGTCTGCGAGTAAACCACAGTCGACATACATTAGGGAGTTTAAGCAACAACGACGGACACCGACGGCTACGAAAACGTCACTTAATATACAAAGGGAATTCGCGCTGCTTCAAACTTGATCGCGCTTATTCCATCTCGTTCAATTCGTAAATTGGCGGCGATTTTTCTGGAGTTGAATTCTCAAAGCTAAATTATAGAAAGTTCAGGAAAAGAAAAAAATAATGTCGTTGTCTTGAGTTCATCAGACTCCACTAAACGTGAAATTAGGCATTTTCACGTCGTTAGTTAAGATTTGCAAAGCCTAACAATGACAAACGACACATTAACCAGCGCAACACAGTTTGCATTAATATGTTCTGTTACTTGGGAACAAGTTAGGAAGCAACCAATAGTATTTTCGCATTACCTTTTTTGAAGCACATGAATAATGACGTACACTGCATTTGTTTGAAAGGCCTTGAACCAACACCTTCTCCAGCCAAAATAATTTTTCTCGAAAACAAGGGAAGGAGGTAAGATTGGTGTCTTTGAAAAAAATTTTCTTTGTAGACTCTGTTTTCGTAACTTGTTTTAATATACCACTTTTTTCTGGTTAAAAGCTCTGCAGAAAAACGGTTTCCTAATCTGTAGGTACCGAGGCACAGATTACCCACAACAAAAGAAACAATACAACCACCCAAACAATTAAAGCGGCCCCCAGAAGAAATCTTATTAACTATTGTTTAGTTCCTTCGTTAATTTTGTGATGACGGTACCTACAAAAAGCCCACAAAAACGTTTTCGTGAACAATGAATAGAACAAAAAGCAACCAATAGTGCTCAAACTCAGAACCTCAAATAAACGATTATTTTAGATAACAATACGAAGTATTCTACGAGAACAGATGAATTTAATAGTGCGCTTAAAGCTTCGAATTTATCAGTAAGTACGTAATTCAAACTCTTAAGGCCGGATTTCGTGCTTTGAATTCATCACAAAAGGATCTTAGGAAACTACGACGGCGACGGCCACGGGAGGGTAAAAACAAAACAAAACAATAGGTTTAATGAGCAAAACAACAACTCTACAACTGTATCACGCCTTTTTGTAAAATATATTTGCTGTTCCTGTACAACTACAGTGTATGAAGCGAAAAGACCAAATTTTAAGTTTACTTGAGAACAGGAACGGTAAGGCGAATAAATTCTACCAT